ACGCTTATATGCATAAAATAAAAAAATAATAAAATATTAAAAACCCCCAAAGAAACAAAATAGTTGATCCATTCAAAGTTCCTGATTCTGTTGAGCCTGAGAATGTGTGCATCTCTAACAAGTCCCCAGAATGCTGTTTGGAGACCATCATTTGAGAGCCAGTGACCTGAAGGTCATGATCAAATCCAATTCATTTCTCCTGTGTTTCTGTGCCACCCACCAACTTTTCTAAGCCAGAGGCATGGGGATGTACCTCTACCTCATTCCTGTGGCTGAGGATCACCGGTCCTGCAACTGTCCTTCGTCAATCTGCTTCCTCTCCACCTTCTGCCCATCCCCAGCCCATGGCCCCCACCTTCTTCATGTTTTCTCTGTCATCAACACTTCTGCACCAGCCTCCCAGATCCACCCTGACCCCTCCAGTCATTCTCCACAGCTCTGCCCAGTGGTCCTGTGCATGTCATCAATTCAATCCTGTCATCCTGAGCCTGGAAGAGGTCAGCAGCTCTCCCTGTGCTGTCTGCAAGAGTCTAGAACTTCCACTTCTCCCTCCCTAACTGGGCTCAGTTAGCCTCCTTCTCCCCCTAGAGCCATGCCTGTTCTCCCACACCCCAAGCTGTGCTGGAGTCTTATGGGGAAGCCAGGGAAGAAATGAGTTCATTTTATTAATATTATCATCATCATCATTGCATTTATTTATCGTATGAGAGAGAGAGAGAGAGAGAGAGAGAGAGAGAGAGAGAGAGAGAGAGAGAGAAAGAACACAAGCAGGCATGTATGTGCCACCATGCACATGAACGTCAGAGGACAACTTTTAGGAATCAGTTTTCTTCTACCACAGGTTCCAGGGCTCTGTTATTATTATTATTATTATTTTTAGATGGGCTCACTATGTAGCCCTAGCTGCCCTGGAACTTGCTGTGTAGCCCAGGCTGGTCTTGAACTCATAGAGCTGTCTGCCTTTGCCTTCCAAGTGCTAAGATTAAAATCGTGTGTGCCACCATGCCTGGTTTATGCAGTACTGAGAAGAGAACCCAAGTACTTGTGGGTGCTAGGTGAGCACTTTACCAGCTGGGCTGGAGCCTGCCTCACCTCCCACTTTAAAAACTATTTTCCTCTGCTTACCACTGTATCTGACATACACAGAAGACTCTTGGGTGGGCTTGGGCTGCTCCAGAAGACCAAGAATTCATGCAAGCCATTTTTTAAAAAAACTTGTATTTTATGTGTATGCGTGTATTGCCTGCATGTAAGTAAGTGCACCCGTGTCGTGCAACGCCTGCAGAGGTCAGAAGAGGCTGTTGGATCCCCTGGGACTGGAGTTATGGACAGTTGTTAGCTGCCATGTGGGTGCTGGGATTTGAACCTGGGTCTTCTGCCAGAACAGTGTTCTTAAGCTCTGAGCTATCTCTCCAGCCCCTCATGCAAGTCATTTATTTAGAAAATGATGGAAGAAACTCAGGAAGGGAAAAGGGGAATAAGACAGGGGTAGGATGACCTATCCTCCACCATGGAGGCTAGTGGGCCTCCAGAGCCCAATCGCATGCATGCGTGTGTGCGTGCGTGCATGGGTGTGTGTGTGTGTGTGTGTGTGTGTGTGTGTGTTCTGGGAAAAAGGCACACATCTCAGAGTGATCTCACCCAAGGGGGAGCTTACTCACCAACCCTTCACTCTGGGGATGGTTTGGGGCACGTGGCAGGACCCATTGGCCCAGCACTCACTGTTTGATGAGTGAACATGAAGAGCAGGACACCCTGGAGAGATGACCACCCATTCACAGGCACAGGGACCCTTGGGAGCTGTGGGGGCTCTGCTGCCACCCTCATTATACCTCCAAGCATTGTCTTACTAGAAGAATCAGGGTCTGTTCCATTTCATTCAGAACCTTCTGGAGTCTTGAACTCGTTTTGTCCAAGCTTGAGAACCAGCGATTATTTTCCAGAGAGCCATGGTGAGGTCAGCTTCAAGGGCTCTGTTGTGGGGTGTTTGCTGTGAGCATTGGCCAGGCCGGGTCTGTTCTGACTGCTTGGAGTGTGGGTGTGTGGGTGTGTGGGTATGGTGCATTAGGGGATGCCTTGGGTCTCATCATCTAACACTGTATGTGCCTATGCAACTTTCTGATTTAAATCTTCACATCCCATAAGTCACTGTTACCATTGAGCCCTTGCAAGTGGCCAGTGCAACGGAGGAAGAGAATTCTGGATGTATTCCTTGTCAGTGAATTCACATGTTTAGCTGTGGTAAGCAGGTACCATGCTGGACAGTAAGCACCACTGTGCCTGAAGATAGAGACACCAGGGACCTAGAACTTGGTTCTCAGATCCAAAGGCTAGGGCCCAGCTGCCCCCTGCAGGTGTGGAGAACAATGGGCAGGAAGTGCATTGATCCCTTATCTTCCCATGGCCTCCCTTCACTAAGTACTGTGCTCCTGGTTCTAGTCAGAATGGCTGTCAAGGCTGACACTAGACTCAATCTTTGAATGTGAGAGAGCTTAGTGGACAAGCCCCCAGCTCTTGACAGCCATTTTTATGAGGCAAGCAAATACTGAATTGGCCTTAATTTCAACAACGATTTGGGTTGATGAGGAGTAATTCTGTCAGCTTGACTAGGACTTAGTTTTGTTTCCTGTTGCTATGACAAAATCCCCTAACAAAAGCAACTTAAGGGAGAAAGGGCTTCTTTGGCTCACAATTCCAGCTTACAGTCCATCACTGAGGGGCAGTCAAGCCAACAGGAATGCGAAGCAGCTGGTCGTATCACATCCAGCCGAGAGCAGAGAGCAGGGAATTAATTCGCATGCTGGTGCTCAGCGCACTCCTTTTCATTTAGTTCAGGCCTGGCCTATGAAATGGTGCTGTCTACATTCATGGTGGGTGTTCCCACCTCAGTAGACCCAGCTAAGAAAATTCCTCATGGTCAGGCCCACCGGTCAACCTATGGGGGACAATCCTTCATTGAGAGTCCCTTCCTAGGTGATTCTAACTAACCATTATAAGGGTCTAGGGTGCCCAGATTACAGGAATTATTTTTTCTGGTTTTGTCTGTAAAGATATTGCCTACGAACGGGGTGACAGTACAGCAGTGCTCTCCCCCATCATGGTGGGCCTTGTCTAATCCGAGGAGGGCCTGAGCAGAACAGCAAAGTGGAGGGATGTTGAATTCTGCCTGACTGAACTGGAAATAGTGGTCTTCTTACCTGCACTGCCCAATTCTCAGGCTTTTTTTTCCTTCCTTCCTTCCTTTCTTCCCTCCCTCCCTCTGTCCCTCCATCCGTCCCTCCCTCCTTCCTTCTCTCTCTTTTAATTTTTTTTTTTTTTTTTTTTTTTTTTTCATACAGGGTCTCCCTGTAGCCCTAGCTGACCTAGAACTCACTATGTAGACCAGACTGGCCTCTATTTCATAGAGATCCCCCCTGCCTCTGCCTCCCAAGTGCTGGGACTAAAGGCATGCTCTGCCACACCTGGCCCCAGACTTGCTTTGAGCTTGCCACCAGCTTTCTAGGTCTTAGCTTTGCAGAGAACAGATCATGGGACTTCTAAATGTCCACAATCACATGTGCCAGCTCCTTATAGTAAATTATATACATGGTCTGGAAGGCTGACAGAGAAATAAAGTGGTGAGGGAAGCCAAGTAGTTATTTGAGGGAAGAGTATTTCAGGCAAGGGAACAGCCTGAAGCAGAACCATGAGTTTTACAACGTCGCCTCCCCTCAAGGTCAGTGTGTCTGGGGAGTGAGCTAGAGAGGGGGTAATGAGCTGAAGCAAGGGAGGAGAGCCAGTTTGGACAGATTTTTTTCTTTTTCTTTTCTTTTGGGGTTTTAGATGTTATAAAACATATATTCAAGAGACAGAAGAATTCATACCTAATGAACAAGAAGCAGACCAGTTTGAAAAATAAGGATGCTGAAACTGTTTAAGTAGTTAAAAAAGGAAGACTAGGATCCATAAAGCACAGAGAGATTGTGAAATATAATCCGGTGGCTGTAGTACAAAGAACCAGGTGAAAATCTTACCAGTGCAAAAAATGACTTGAAATAAGAACCAGAACAGATAGAGTAAGTGGTAGAGTAGATACAGCTGAAGGAAGAGTTAGTGAATAGGAAAATCAAATTGAAGAATTCTACCAGTGTGAAAACCACAAACATTCTCCAAGAATTTCTACTAGATGCTCTTTTGGAGCAAGTGTCCCTTCTCCTAAGCTTGGAGTCACTGTGTTAAACAATCATGCTTCTGAATCAGGGTTAGGAAGTGGAATAAAATCCTTAGCAAAGGGCTGGGCATGGTGGCACACACCTTTGATCCCAGCAGAGGCAAAGGCAGGTGGATCTCTGTGAGTTCAAGGCCAGCCTGGTCTACATAGTGAGTTCCAGGACAGCTGGGGCTACAGAGAGATCCTGTCTCAAAAAGAAAAAAAAAAAATCCTTAGTAGAATGTAAAAGGTAATTAATTGTAGAACTGGGGAAGAGCTAGCTTAATACATTAGTGAAGGGCCATGCTAGTAAGAAGAGCTAATGTTTCTTGATAGCTTAGTGTGTAAAGGCATACTATATCCAGTAACAAATGACCTTGCTGTTCTCCAAATGCATCTGATCAAAATGGAATTAGCTGGATTCTGTTTGCAGCAAGCTAGTGTTTGGGTTGACCTAATGATGCTCTGAGAAAGTCTTCAGAATGCTGTCCTGGGTGGGACCATCCCACAGGGAGGCCCTACTTGGACCCAACACAGTTGTCCTGGGATGGACTGAGGCTCAGTGCTCATCTGAGGCATCCTGACTCTGTGGTTCCAACTCTCCTTCCTGTTCTGGGAAAGTCAGTTGCACAGCAAGCTCTGGACATCTGCTGAAGATGCATTTCTGGTCAAATGGATCACACTACTAAGTTCATCCTCCATAAACCCTCCTGCTGTGTGCAGTAAGATGAAAACAATCCAGAATGTGGGCATTCATAGGCAAAGGTACTGTAAGAATAATTAGTCCTTTCCTAAAGAAAACACACTGCATATTTTGTTCATAGACAAGTTTTATTTTTGTTCTCAGTATGCGCCCTTAAAGATTCCAAAACTTTGGAGTTTCTGATTCTCCTGGGACCAAAGGTAAAGGCATTGTATGGGACACCCAACCCTCCTGGCTCTCCTCCGAGGAGCTGGTGTGTCGGCTTCAGAGAGGGAGCTGACAGTCACGCCTATTCCAAGATGGGGAACACAGTGAACAAAGAATTAGTAACACACAGACTCAGTCTGTGGAGGGCTTCAAATATACATATTCTCTATATATAAACCTGTTATATAGGATTTCAACCTATTGGTTTCCTCCTGATCTGTAATTAAAGTACAAATGATACGATGTTGCACATGGCTGACCCCTTTGCAGCCCCCCTCCCTCCCCAACATAAATAACTTACAAAGGGCAGGTGAACCTAAGTTTCTGCTGTTGTAAATATTTTGTTTGTAAAATCATTTCCCCTTCCTCCCCTGCAAACTACCTCTGAGAGTTTGTAACACAGCAGCGTGGAATGGATGGGATCGGGGCCATGAGCTGAGCTAGTGCAGAGTGGAGAGCCCCGCTTCTCACTGACTGGCCCCAGGTGACTTTGCTATTCCAGGGACAAGAGAGGCTACACAGGAAGCAGAGAATGGACAGTGCAGTTCTGGCCTCCCCAGGGAAGAGGCTGGCTGGACCACAGAGGAGCCTTAAAGGCGTGGAGGTTTGGAAGCCAGAGCAGAGCTCTGCAGATGTCCTGGCTCAGTATTTACACGGTATCTTTAAGCCGCATTTCCTTTTAAGAAACTTGTGTTTCTGAAGATGCCTTTTCTGAGGGTGGCTGGGGGAAAGGAGAGCCTTAAAAACCAAGCCAAACCAATTCCCACAAACGGCAACGTCCTGCTCCATCTTACTCAGTAATTTCCACATACATCATCCGAGAGGATCCCAACAATGACTGGGTCCTGTTCTGACTGGCTGGCAAGCAGAGGTGAAGGTTAGGAGCACTAGGGAGAGCGCCGGCCTTTCTTTAGCATCAGGTGGCACTGGATGGTCTGGATCCTGTTCTTGGCTGGGACAAACTCTGGCTGCAGTTTCAGTGTTGATTCATACCATACCAGGGCCTTTTCAAACTCTTCCTGTGAGGGGCAAGGAACAGACATAAGGACATTGGTACCACCTGACCAAACATGTACGGTGACCGGTGACAACCCAAGCATTTTCTCAGTGGACTCAAGTCTACAGAGAGCTGTGAGGTGGGGGAGGAGACAGTGGCCTCATTCCCAAGGCACAATACCACAAAGCAAGCCTGGCTGAGTCCAGGGAGCAAGCAGGAAGGGGGAGACTGGCCTGGACAACCGTGAGCAACAGTGGCAGTCGTAAGCGCTGCATCACTGAGCCCTGAGGCATGCTGGGCTACCTTAGGACACTCTCCATTTGGCCCTCCAAGAAACCTCTGGACTTACTCTGGCCAGTGCTCTGTGCACCTGCTTTGACTTTGCCACTACTGGAAAGAGGGAGCTAAATGCAGGTATCTCAATTACAACTGTAAAATTTCAAGACTTTCTATTCTCCCTGACATTTTAAAATTACACCAAAGTTTAAAAATGACCTGCTATACTTTGAACATTAATCTTCTACTCATACTAATTCTTTCAAAGAGGAGGCTGAATCTACTGCCAGAGCTTGCCTCCTGCCCAGGAAGTGAAGGATACCAGCCTGGCCAGAGCCTACCTCCTGCTGGGAAAGTGAAGGATGACACACACAGTTAGTCTGTCAGCTGTTAGGAGCTTCCACCTTACCTCAGATGATGGTGCCTGGCCTGGTTCTCAGGTTACATTTGGTTATAGACTTTGCAGGGACCCCTGGGGTTTAAGTTCTAAAATCAGGGTGGGATGTAAAGCTGAATGGCAGGGTACTTGCCTAGCAAGTGTGAGGCACCCTGGGTTCAATCCCCAGCAAAACACACAGGCACGCACACACGTGTGCACATACATGTGAAGACTTCTGAAATCAGACCTTAAATTTGACTAGATGAGGAGTCTGGATGGTGGCCTTACCATTTTATTTGTAAATGGAACTTGTGAAACTAGTGGGATCTCATCATTCATTAACTATCTGATATACTCCTGGAGTTCCTGAACAGGGAGATGAAGAGGAACCTTGTCCCTAAGAGGACTGTAGTCTAGAGGGGAAACAAATACTTCAACCATTTTAACAATATCATGTATTATTTACGAAAACCCAACTCGACCTCTCAAAGCCCTTATCCATAAAGTTTACTCATAGTGGAGCTGGTAATTTTAGAGATAAACCTTATGGGAAAGTGGAGGACGGTGACATTTTCAAAGAAGTTTTGAAACCAAAGAGGTGCCTCACCATCGCCATGTAGACGTTGCCCAGTGTGAAGTGGTTTACAGCAAAATGTGGTGCAATCTCCACAGCCATGGTGGCGACGATGACGGCATCATTCCAGAGCTTGGCATTGTGCAGAATGTTGGCCAGGCTGATGAGGGGCACGTCCTAGGGGAGGAAAGAGAATGAGAGGGGGACCTGAGCTTTCACCTTGACTTCTAGACATGAAGAGAGCAGCCAGTACTCCTGGTAGATGACATAGCACTACAGTAAAGCACACAGGGCCAGGTTGCTGTTTGCTACTGGTCTCTGAGGAGACCAAAGTAGGAGCTTGTAACAAAACACAAACCGATGAACCATTTTACTGACAAAGCATTGCATCAACAAACATCCACTTTTTTTCTGGTGGTGCTGGGTTCAACCCAGGGCCTTGCACATGCCAGACAAATGCTCTTCTAGTGAGCTCTATCCCCAGCCCTCCAAAAGCAAATAAAATAAATGCCCAACTGAAGTAGACACTGCTGAGTGGCTCACTCTGCTGCTAGCTCACGTGTCACTGCATGCTGCTAATAAGAAGTCTATAGACAGACACCTGTCCACAGCCACCTAGAGCTAAGCTGAGGTACTGCTGTGGTATTCGTGTAAGGACTAGCCTATCATCTACAGGAGCTGGCAACCTTCTGCCCACAGGCTTCACCCAGCCTGCTGCCTATTTCTGCAATATTAATGGAAGAACCCACTCCCTTTCCTTTACCTGTTTCTGTGGTGGTCTTCAGACTACAACAGAAAGGCCAGTGTTGTCCAGGGGCTATCAGGCCCACAGAGCCCAAATGCTTTCCTATCTGGCCTTTCCTGCTGCCTCATAGTGTGGTGCACAGAACGACAGACAGAACAATAGAGACACTATTATCACAAGTTTTTCCCTTTTTAAACGTTATCTGAGCACTGCTGGCTGTCACACACTGCTGGGTTCTATAGGAGATATGGGCAAACAATAAAACAGGACCCATCACGCCCTAACTGGGCATCTGCAGAGTACATGTTCTTAGATGAGGTCAATGTTCAATATCTGGTCCAAGGTCAGAAAGCCATTAAGAAGCAGAACTGCTCTTAGAACTCAGAGATGCCCATGGTGAAGCCGAAACTCCTCCCGCCATCTTGGGCAAAGATATATAGGGTCTGTAGAAAATATGGGCTCTAGATTACTGTAGAACTCAGTGCAATGGCTATAAGTGTGTGATAATAAATTACATTCTCAGCCACCATAACAATAATTAGCTCGTTGGAAAAGAGAAGGACTGGGAATTTGCCAATATAGACAAGGAATCTGCTTCTGTCTGTGTTCACATGAAGTGCTTAAGAAGTCACCTGTGCTCCCAGCCTGTGGGGATGAACTGACCTCAGAAAGACTGGCAGTCTGCTTAGCTAGAGCATCACTGTATGGTGGGTGGCTCTTGGTACAGAGGAAGAGGAACTAAGTGCTGTAGCCACCATGATCCTGAGACCTTCCTTCATGCTCCAGCTTTGTGAGGTGGGGGCACAGGCTTGCTGTGGCACAGGCCAGGACACCCACTCTCCTGCCCTGTCCTCTCAATGAGCCACTTTGATACCAGTTGAGCATGAGGACGCTTAGCTGAAACCTCAGGGAACAGAGGGCCATGTTTGCTGGCTCCCTCCCTCCTGGCACCTTACCTTCATCTGGTGTGGAGCATAGTGGAGGGCCTGGCGCAGGCAGTCAATGGCCTTCTTCCCTTGGCCTTTCACTCTCCAGTAGAGGGCTGCCATGCTGGAGAGGACCCAGGACGTCTGGTTCTACAAAGGAATAGTAGACTAAGGATGGTGTCTCTTCAAAAACACACTGAGGATGGGAGCACAAGGCTCCATCGCCCGAGTATGCATTAGGTGCTGGCGCTCCGTTAGGCACTCGGCATTCTAGGAAATCCTTAGAATGACCTATGAGCTTGCTTCTACCAGCATGCAAAGCCATGATCAGACAGGCTAAGTGCCTTGTCCAGGGCAGTGCAGTACTACACAGCACTTGGGGCCATTGAAATTCTGCTGTTTGAACCAAGAAGTACATTAAGTTACAAAGGAAAGCCCTCCTCCTTTTAAACCCTCCTCTCTACTGTACACAATAAACACTACTTTTAGTTTCTTACATAGCCTCTCAGGATTTAAGCTTTATTTAAACAAGTATTAATATAGAATCACACACTCATCTTTTGCAAAGTGAAGTAAATGGTTATTTATATGAATCAGCACTTTTTTCCCCCTTTAAACAGTGTGCCTTGAGGATCTTTCTCCACTGGCATAGGGAGAGCTTCTTGACTCTCTTGTTAAGAGCTGTGTTGTATTTCCTTGTTGGATGCACCATCATTTACTTAAATCATTTACCCCTCCCCAAGTTTTTCACCATTACAAAGAACTTTGTACAGGTGAAAGTTTCCATTTGTGAGCGTATGTGTAGGATACATTTCTAGAGGTGGACATGCTATGTAAGGGGATGTGCATAGTCACTTCATTGATAAATACAGCCATACTGCTCTCCACAGGACTACAATGCTCTGCCAGAAACATATGTATGCCCCATTTCCTAGGGGCCTTTGTGATAGTCATAGGTGAGCATAGTGAGCAGCGCTCACATCTTTCCATATTTGAAAGCCTTTTTCACTCCTTTTCTTCAAACCATCTGTTCTTAGGACACTCCATCAACTTTTTGAGGCTCATGTCGTGTACTGGAAAAGCTCTGTGTGTATTAGGGATGTACAGGCTGGTCTCCCAGGATGAGGTCTGCCTTTGGACTCAGTGCTTTGTATGACGCAGGTTCTGATTTCCATAGAATTTAGCTAACTAATTTATGCACTGTGACTTCTGGATTTCCAGGGGAGTTAGGAAGGTCTTCTTTAAGATTACCAAGAAATTGGATTATCTTTTTCTCCAGAAATTTTACAAGTTCATTTTCACATTTAAATCTTGCATCCATTCAAAATTTAACCTGGCATAAAGTAAAACAATATTTTACACATAATAAAATAATATATACATAAAAATGCCTCCAGCTTAGTATTTTTCCAGATGCCTACCAAGTTGTCCCAACAGTGTTTAAAGAAAAGGTCACCTCTTCCCCATGGTGACTTGAAGAAACTATCTCTGTTCTTACATTTTGTTAACTTTCCTGAGGGAACAGTATTTTCCAAGATTGCTATTATGGGCTGAACTGTGCTCCCCTAAAATCGTTTTTTTTGTTGTTGTTGTTGTTGTTTTGAGACAGGGTCTCCCTGTAGCCACAGCTGGTCTGAAACTTGCTATGTAGGTCAGGCTGGCCTCAATCGCACAGAAATCTGCTTGCCTCTGCCCCTCGAATGCTGGGATTAAAAGGTGTGTGCCGCCATAGCTGGCTAAACTCTGTATTTTTAAAACCACAAACTGTGGCACCCCAGTATGTATTTGGAGGTCCGAGGCTATTAGGATAAAGCATGATCCAGTGTTATGGGCTTTACATGGATTTCTTGTGTGAACTGTGGGCAGTCAGACAGTGGCCATCTGTAGCCGGGCAGAGGCCTTAGAGGAAATAGCCCCACTGGGACCATGACCTTGGGCTGCCAGCCTCTTAAAAACAGCAGAAAATGAATTCCTATTGCTTAAGTGCTTCAGTCTAGAGTATTCTGTTACAGGTGCTCTAGCTGCGCTTGTGCTCTGTCTGTCTACAGCTTCATGCCCTATTATAGCCTGGCTGAATAGAAAAACCAGTCAATTCATTCCTCAAAGAGACCACTGCATTTACCCACTGCCTCATGCTGTGAAGGGCCATTCCAGAGAAGTCTGAAGCTAGCCTGATTCTGTCCTCTTTCTGAGTGCCTTTATCCTTTAGATTCCTTTTCCAAAAGGGGTTTTATTTTAATTAATTGTTTATTTAAATTTTTTTTTTTTTTTGAGACAGCTTCTCTCTGTAGTCCCTGCTGGCTTTGAACTTGCTATGTAGACCAAACTGGACTTGATCTTACAGAAACCTGCCTGTCTCTGCCTCCCAAGAGCTGGGACTATCTTTCTTTAATGTCAATATCAGATACATGAAAGTATCACTCCTTTCAAATACAGTCCCATCACCTGTAAGTAGAGGAATTTGCTTCAACATGGCAATATTTGTGTTATAAAAAGTCATGCTGCATGCAGTTCTGAGGCTTGGGGCTTTTACTGCTCATAGCATTTCTGACATGCAGTTGTATGCATTTTTTAAAAAATATATTTTATTATTTTTTTTATGCGGACGAATGTATTGCCTGCATATGTGTAACGTGTCGTACAATGCCTGTGGTGGTGAGAAGAGGGCTTCGGATTCCCCTGGAACTGGAGTTAAGGACGGTTCATAGCCACCGGGTGGGTGCTGGGAATCGAACCTGTATCCTCTGCAAGAGCAGTCAGTACTCTTAACCGCTGAGCCATCTCTCCAACCCCGCATTTTTAAAAAATATATATTTTATTTATTATTTTTATTTAATGTGCATGAGTACAATGCCTGCATGCAGGTAGGTGCACCCATGTTGTGTCATTCCCAAGGAGATGAGAAGAGGGTGTCTGATCACTTGGTACTGGAGTAACGGATTGTTTTTTGTGAGGGCTGAGATATGAACCTGAGTCTTCTGCAAGAACAGCCAGTGCTCTTAACTGCTGAGCCTCTCTCTAGCCCCAGGCATGTGCATTTCTATTTCATTCGTTTTTCTGGTTGTACAATTAGAGGACACTACCTGAATCTGCCACACTGCATGTTTTTCATTTTCTGTAGAAGGGCACTTGAGTGATTCCCTGCTTTATGTCTTCTGTGTAAATACTTGTGCAGAGTTTCTGTAGTCTAAAGGAGATACTTGAGAAATGCTGGATGACAGAACATGCAAATGCTCAAAAAACCCAAGAGAACACGAGATTGTTTCCTCCACACCTATGCCTACTTAGAGTCCCACCAATGCTAACAGGTCCCTTAACCTGATCCATCCCTCCAGTTCCCTAGAAGGCCCTTGATGTATATACTTTCCAACCCTTAGTCTATCAATGATGTAAAATGGTATTTTTTAAAAAATATTTTATTTATTTTATGTGTATGTGTGTATTGCCTGTGTGTAGGTAAGTGCACCTGTGTTGTGCAATGCCTGCAGAGGACAAAAGAGGCTGTCAGAGCCCCTGGAACTGGAGTTTCTGACAGTTGTTAGCTGCCATGTGGGTGCTGGGATTCGAACCTAGGTCTTTTGCAAGAACAACCAGTGTTCTTAACTGCTGAGCCATCTCTCCAGCCCCGTAAAATGGTATTTAACCAGGGTCTTATTTGGCATTTCCTGATCATCAGGAGGACTAAGAATTATTTTGTGTTTATCACACATTTCTGCTGTGAAATGTGTTAATTTTTAGTGCATTTTATATATTTCTTGGCAGTGCTGGGCCTCATGCCTAATAGTCAAGCACTCTGACACTGAGCTACATGTTACTTATTTTTCTCATTAGCTCCTTCCTGTTCCATATCTTGATACTTCATAGAGGCTAAATGTGTTGCACCTATTTTCTGGCTCATCTCTAACTTAAAAAACTTCAAGCTTTCATTATAGTGTTGGATGTTTCCTTTTACACTTAGGAATTCTGAGTCTTCCTAAGAAATACCCATCTCCCAGCTGGATATGGCGGTGTACACCTTTAATTCTAGCACTTGGGAGGCAGAGGCAGGCAGATCTTTGTGAGATCAAGGATAGCCTGGTCTACTTAGTGAGTTCTAGGCTACCTGGGGCTGCAGGGAGACCCTCTCAAAAAGACGAGAAAAAAAAAAAAGAAACATCCATTTCCCACATTTTACCCTAATTTTAAAAAGTAATGCTTTAAAAAAACTATTTCACTTTTAATTTTTAAGAATGTGAGTGTTTTGCCTGCATATTAAGTGCATTTGTACATGCAATGCCCATGGGGGCCAGAAGAGAGTGTTGGATCCCTGGAACTGGAGTTACAGATGGTTGTTAGCCACCATGTGGGTGCTGGGAACCAGATCCCAGTCCTCTGAAAGAGCAGCCAGTGCTCTTAACCACAGAGCCATCTCCCCAGCTCCTTTTAATACTTGACCCTTAACTCACATAGAATTATTTCCTTAAGATGTGACGATTGAAATTGCTATACAATTGCCAGTTCTCCTTTTAAAGGGCCATGTCTTTCTATTTCTCTTTAAATTCTTAAAAAAACTGTATGTGCATGCCTGCATGCATGTGTGCGCGCACCTGCTATGGCTATCAGGTGGAGGTCAGAGGACAGCTTTCAGCAGTTGGCTTGCCCTTGCCACTTTGTGGGATCTGGGGATTGAACTCAGGTCTTTAGGCCTATACCTCTAACCACCATGCCATCTTGACAGTCCAAAAATTCTGCCTTACATTTTGAAGTTCCACTGGCATTTCACTATATCAGCATTGACTATGTAGGTCAGGCTGGCATGCTGATGGTGTGTGTCTTCCAATCCATGAACATAATGCAAATAAGTATTTAAATATTTATGAACATAAATAAAGTCATGGACCTTCTCTATTAGGTCTTTTAAAAAATTTTTATGTATTATTTTTATTTTATGTGTATGAGTGTATTGCCTGCATGTATGTGAGTGCACCTGTGTCATGCAATGCCACGGAGGTCAGAAGAAGGCTTCAGATTCCCCAGGAACTGGAGTTAAGGACGGTTCATAGCCACCATGTGGATGCTGGGAATCCAACCCGAGTTCTCTGCAAGAACATTCAGTGTTCTTAACCACTGAGCCATCTCTCCAGCCCCATATACGCATTTTTATGTTGAAA